CATCTGAAGAGATTCTTTATCGCCAATACATTGTTCTAATTTTTTTCGTGACGAGCATATTGCCTGGATATTAACGATTCTCGTCGACTATGAACCAGTCAGTCATAAGACGGTTTGAATAAAAATTTCCTTGGATTTTTCCATCGTCTAGTAAAATAATAAAATAGAAAACGACGTTTCGGAAATGGGTCTCTAACTCCGAAACGTCGTTTTGTAATTATCTCTATCTATTGGGCCCAACAGAGTAGGTACCTGAAGACGGAGATAGAGCCCCATCTCCGAAACGTCGTTTTCTATTTTATTATTTTACTAGACGATGGAAAATATCCAAGGAAATTTTTATTCAAATAACTCACCATTATCACGAACTTTTAGATTTCGTATAAGATGGTTTCCTTTATACATGTTTAGTACACACCTTGTCGAAAATCATTTGGGATTGCATTTTAAATTTTAAGAGTTCTGTAATCAGTTGTTCACACAATGATCATTTTTTGAGAAGAATTATTAAACTATGTTGTGCCAGTAGGACTAAGAATTAAACTTTACGGACATAAAACAAATACATTTGAAAGGTTTGCTGATGTATAAGGAAACATTTTAATATTGCACTCAAGACACGCCAATACCAAGTAAGACAAAAACAAATGTGAGGGACACAAATGGGAATCTGCAAATGATTTGTAAGCAACGAGGGAACAAAAAAAAACTCATGTTTCATCGCTGTTTCAGCTGCGGGCCGTCAGTGTGGATTTCCCGGTCGTCCCAGGAATGGAACCAGCGCTACAGCAGCGCCAGTGTCCCGGCCCGGAGATACTGCACACTATACTTGTCGGCCAGGGTACACCCTGTTTGGCGAGGATGAACGGGTGTGCCTGGATTCGGGAATCTGGACGGGGCGCCAACCCTTGTGCGGTGAGTGCAATTTGAACAAGATTTTTATGCATTTATGGTGAGGTGGGGTTTACCCATACGCAAGTGTCTACTCCAAAATGACTATCGTGTTCAACGAAATTCGATGATTACTGTGCAGTGGACGTTGTAGGACGAATTTAATTTTAGCTCAGATTGCGACATTACATGTAGTAATGACGTGAGTCCAGGACTTGTGTCATTTTGATGGGGAACAAACGATATAAATGGCTACCCGAACCGATTTCAACCGGTTCAGGTATGATCTAGTAGCGGGATTTTGTGAACACGCTATGGGTTCTATGGATATAGGAAATTCCTGTCCATGGATCCAGAATTGGCGAGGCAGAAGATGGTGGCCTTGAGCATTCTACTTCAGTTTCTCTCGATTCTTACAGAAGCTCGTGTTGTCATACCAACTCTTAATTCATGGTTGTTTTGAAATGTGCAGTAGTAGAGGGTGGATGAGTAAAATTGCCTCGTCGTCTCTCAATCTGTGAACAGTAACTATTACTTTCTTTGCTTTGAACTTTATCCATCGTCTGTTTTTAAAACGTCTGAAAAATCTGAAAAATTAAAAAAAAATTCGCTGAATTTTGAACCAAAGGATAGATTTCTCTTCGTCTCCAGGTGAATAAAGTGGGGTCTGACTCCTGTCCCTTGCCCGAAAACGAAGAAAAATCATCCTTAGAAACAGTAATTTTGGGGTTTTATGATTTTGAAGTCTTTAAAAAAAGTTAGGTTATTGATAAAGTCCAAAGCAAAGGACATTGTAATATGAGACCGTCACCAAAGACATTCAGTGAAGAACAGGAAATTGCTTGACCGACTTAATAACTATGAATTCTTCAGGGGAGATCCTGTCCGTCTAGGGAGTTATTTATATTTTCTAAATTGTACCAAGTAAAGAATCTTAGATGTAAGATGCAGCTATTTTGTACCATAAAATTTATTTTACAGTTTTCCACTTATAACAGTGTCTTTCTGTAAAATTTTCTCTGTATGCCACTAAATTTCTACGTGCGATTTCTGGTCACGTCAGTTAAAACTTGTTTCTCTCATGTGGTTCCATAAATTCAAATTTAATGAGAATCCCACAGTTGAAATTTGATCGTCACTTTTTACGAACTATGAAGACCAATACTGATTTTATGTTATGATAATCTGTAGTTATCAGCTTCATGTTTCTAAAGATATCTGCTAAATTTAGGCATGTTAAAATTTAAATACTATTTCTAGGTAGTAATTTGCCCGGGCGTGTCATATGTGAACATTCCCACCCAGAGCAGAGGTTATGAATGCTTAGACCAAAACTGCAGCACCTCTAAACTCTTTCTTGTTGATCCTTGGACATAAGGAAAACTTTAACTTTACCTCAACATACTCTCAACAAATTAAGTTACGCCTACTGAAAATAGTGGCGAGAGATTCGGTAGCGAATTCCGTGGCATGAACACAAGATTTACACGAGTTAGCATTGGTCACGTTTCGCAAATTTGTTTGAAATCCTTTATCGCTGGACTTTGTATTTGTGAAATATAAAGAGCTTACTGTCCGCTTCGGAGTGTTTACATATTTTAGTACTTGAATATTGGAACATATTCATTTCTAGTCGGGAGGTTTATTGATAGCCACGTTGTCTCGGGCTGGGTAGATTCTTGGATTACATGTTGTGCCCTGGTTTTCCGCTTTTCTGTATTCTTTTATGGAACGGTCTTATGATGGGCAGACCCATACATACAAGTAGTCCTACCTTACAATTAAGGGAGGACACTTCATACTCAACGTTAATCTGAATAATATATAATACGCAAGTGTAAACGTGTGATAAATAGTACATTTACTTTCCAAATGCCACCTTTACCAGCTTGCATTACACGATGCATCTATTTTCTCCTCTTTCAAATATATGTCAGTGTTTATTTTTTTTAATTTTTAATTATTCGTGTTTTTTTCCGTCTAATCACAATTGTATATAAATAAAATTATACATAAGATATTAAAATATCATTTACATATTACCCATTTTCTACCACATTCTTGTGGGAAAATACTTAGCACTAGATGTCACGGCCGAGTTTTTCGTGCGTGTATTTGGAAGGACCGAGAACAAATCTCGGCCCCGGAGACCGGTTGTCCTTTCTGAATATTTTACGTGATTGTCCTCAATATGTCATGGAAAATTCCAGAGCAGTATCTTAAATCAGGTTCTGTCGCTTTCTTCCGTATTTCTCTTTCAGTTTATTATCTATTAATCATCTTGTAATTCGAATCTATGCAGTTTGAGTTACTGAAAGCGTCGTTAAATGAAACACAAAAACGAATGAAGAACGTAACGCGTAGCAACACCCAGTTTTATCTGGATGAGGTTATTAGGAATATGAAAGATTTGAGGTTTTCACAGCGGTGAGTATGAAGATTTCTGTCTTCTGGGTTGTTGCGCTGTGTAGTCTGGTAGATGTTTACCAACGTTTCGGAGATCATACTGCCTCCGTCATCAGGGCGATGAATCATCCACATCTACCAGACTACGCAGCGCAACAACCCAGAACAGAAATCTTCGAGGTTATTTTTATTCCTTCACTGCAGAATGTTACTAATCCTGATCAAAAATTTCGAGGCTGAATTTGTAAAATCTAAGTACTGTAGGAATAGGATGTTAAACTCTTGAATTTAAGCTCCTATTCCTCAGTTCCGTTCTTCTCAGAGCTGTAAACAACTCTCAGACGCAATTTACGTAATCTCAAACAGCTGCTTCGTAGCTGAGTGATCACTTTTGTTAGTGTCATCAAATTTTTATATTCCTACTTTTACCTTACTTTCGGGATAATATCACAGTGACCTATAACTGATGAATAGATAGATTATCTGACTTGCGTGTTACTGTATTTATCAAAGAAGTTTCTGGCACAAGGATGGTTGGGTGGAGAGATTCATTAACATTGTGAATTTGCAACATGATTGTTTGACACATTTACGACCGTTCATACGTGTATATATACACAAATGTTGGTTAATATTCTGACACTGTTTAGCATAGTCATTGAACAGAACACCCTCGTTTATAATATGAACCGAGTTGGGCGAGAAATAGATTTCATTCAACAAAATGGCCGATATAGGCCAAACAAACGACAAATCAACGAAGGTAAAAGCCGTATTTGTTATTGCG